TACATTGGGGTAGCCAAATGCAAGAATACCCTGTATAATAGTTCTTTGGAAGATAGACATCCTTCACTGGACCATAGCGCTCAAAAGGAATCCTAAGATCTTCAGGCCTGCATATCAGAATCAAAATCCCTATCAAATACTAAATCTGCAAAGAAGCCCAAAGACAAAACTAAAAAGAGCTTATAAAAAATTTAAAGGTAATGCCAATTTTATAGCGGCCAAACAACTAAACTGTTCAATAAAATATGAAACATTCAAACACATTCAATTTCCACGTAAAAATTTAAAATAAAAATAAAAAACGCACACGCACACACACACACACACACACACAAGAGCATAGGAAAAACCATTGATTAGTACAAAATACGAATTCTAACAATTAGTTCGCAGCAAACTGCAGTGTACAACACGTAATTCAAGCAAACAACAATATCCTGCACTGAGAAAACACGTGAGTGTATATTTCTTATATGAGAATATAACCACATGCTACTTTGCCTGAACTGCGGCGATGAGAGCGAGTGAGAATGAGAGGGAGAGGGGGAGAGAACCTGGCGTCAAGAGGAAGATTGCGGACAAGCAAACCAGATGGAGCAGGAGAGCGGCGGTCCCTGATAGACCGGCTGTCACGATAACGATCATCGTCATACCGCTTCCTGCCGCGTGGGGGAGTCCTGCTGCGGCGACGAGGGCTGTAGCTTCTGCTCCGACTCCTGTATCTTGCCATTGTTCCTCAACTATAAACGATATGAACGAACTGAAGTGATAGAAACAAACCCCTAACCCTAACCCTAAACACAGACGAATAGAACTACTCTTGAAGCGTCGCGAAGGTTTTTGGTTGAAGGGAGGGAAGGATAAGTGCTCCGGTCCCAGTGAGCGGCCTTGCTCTGAATTTGTACATTTCGGGTCGGGGCGGGCTGAATTTGATGAGGTGTTTGGGCTAAATGGGCCTGCAAAATTCGAAATTGGGGATGGCATTGGGCCGACATTTTTTATGGAATTGTTAATTTGTGCTATAAGTTTTAAATTATTTGTCTTTCAAAATTATTTCTCATCTGAATTTAGTTCAAATTTTAATTTTATTAATAAAAACAAAATTGTAATATATATTATAAAAAAATTTTAAAGAATATGATTTAAAATATCAAAAATTATCATTTTAATTAATAATTAATAGTATTATAACCTTCACTTTCAAACATTAATTTATCCAAATGCAAAAGCTTATTTGGCGAGGGAAAAAAACACACTATTGGAGGGAGGGATAGGCTTTATGTAGCTCACAAGTAATATTGTAAAGAACATATTTTTGTAATGAAACATTTATAAATTCCACTAATGGGAATACATTTGTAGCTTACACTTAAAGAAATATAAAGTTCTTTTAAAAATAGAGTGGTTCATAAATAACTAATTAAATTACTTATTTTTTACTCATGATTAATCAAATAAAATGTAAAAAATAATTTTGATGAGATAAATTTTAAAAAAAAATAAAAATAAGAGCTTATCTCATAAATTTTCGATTAAAAAATAATTCAAATATTCACCTGACATTATTCTGTTCTAATATAATCTTAAAATTCGAAAATTAAGAAGATTAAAATCATATTATCTTACTATTTTATTAACTGATAGTATTATTACTATTGGTCAGTTATCTTAAAGATATAACTGACTCAAATTTCTATGAGAAAACTGAGAAAAGACAATCTTAAAAAATGCATTATTATTGTTATTAGAAAAATATTAATCTCGCATTCATAAAAATTATGTCGTTATTTATACATATATGTATATATACTTAAATCAGTATGTATATTATTTTCATTATTTTGAAGTATAGTTTAATAAGTGCTTTACTTTCAACCTTATAGAAACTAGATGGTCACCATTATTGAATTTCTCTTATCATTCTATTTGTTACGAACCCAAAAATCTCATTCAAAGATCGACCAACCATTATCAAAATCCTTAAATTTTTAGCATGCG